AGAACAAGTGAAGAAATTGAGTTCCTCCCCCTAGATTCCACGCATTCCCAAGGCCAGAACTGGTGCCTTCTGACTCCTGTGCTATTTCTCTTTCCTCTGCACATGCTCTTTCTCCAGGGAACAAAAAAAACACATCATCTGAAATCTTCTGTGCCTGCAGAAAAGGCCATAACGAGCCTTGGTTATCTTGAACAAGAGGTACATACTAACAGAAGGAACCTAAAGTGCTATTATCCCACTATAAGAAAATTAAATTTCAAAAATGACTCTTTTGGTCAACTTCTTCCCAGTCTTTCATTTCCCCATGAATACACACACACACACACACACACACACACACACACACACACAACTACATTTATTTAACATTGTTGGCAATCATGGTATGTATTTATTGTAGGTGCCAGGGTTTTCTCACCTAAGATGATATCAAAATGTTTTCCATATTGCCACCTAGTATTCAAAATTCAAGACTGCATTTTCTGACTGTGATAAAGGAGAAATGTGTTCTAGATCATTACTCATCTAACTGTGGGTGAGTACAAAGTTGAGTTAACTCTGTTGCATCATTGTCATGCACAGAAATGCAACATTAGCAAGGACAAAACAAAAGCAGTGTGTTAAGACACATGACCCTCATACACACACAGGAGAAATGGTGCATAGAGGCCTTTGGGAAGATTTTTACGATTGTTTTTTAAATTTTCCCAAGTGAGATAACAACAGAACATGCATATCGTCAAATCTTTCTCTTCTTTAATTCTGTCCCCTCTGAAAGGAACACTCTTCCCCCAGCTCTTTACCTACATATTTGTAAAATGACTAGTGAATTTTCATTAGGCATAGATTCTTCTAGTTCTAGATACCCTGGGCATCCCATGTGCTTGAGAATGTCTCCCCTAGGACACAGAGGGAAAAATAGGAAGCTGTTTTTTGTGGATCTCAGTTGGAAAACACAAACTTACTGCCCTTTGTTCAACCTGACAAATCTCAGTAGCCCAGAAAAAACTGCAGCCTTGAACTGGCCAGTGTAACTTTTACACAGGACCCTTAGTAGATGGTCAGCGAGAGGGACACACTAACCCAAGCTATCTCCAGATCTTGGTGGTCATCGTTCTGCCCCAGCTGGCAGTTTCAAAGGCCCGTTCTAAGTTCATTCAGTAGTAATAAGGACATTGACATATGGATAAAGTCCCCATTCTTGTTGCCTGGGCAGGTGAGGATGGTGACAAGTTCTGTTTATGAACAGCTAGGTGTGCTATTCTATAGGCAGGTTGCTTAAAAATCTGTGGTTAGTGGGAAAACAGCATCCGTAGGTAGCTTTTAGGGAGGGCACTAGGCTAAGAGTCAGGAAATGTAGCCTCTGATTTCAGCTCTGCTACTCGCTTGCTGGGTAAGCGTAAGCAACATGTTAAACCTCATTCTATCTTCTTTGATCACCTGAAAATACTTTACTTTCAATTCTCATCAGGTTGTTCTCAAAATGAAATAACGTAACATTTGTGCTGACCTAGAAGATCCCTTCCAGCTATGCAGTAGGCACATTTGGGTCCAATGCCCCAGGTTTTCCTCTCAGTCCCACCATGTATTATTAGCTCCATGACTGTGATCAACTTACTGAGCTCAAAGCCTCAATTTCCCCATCATTAGAATGGGGATGATTGTTCTGGCTCATGAGTTTATTTTGAAGATTTAATTCTTAAAATCATGTGTTTTAGACAGACAGATAACTAATGGAAGTTTTAAATGATCTTTCTAATGAGAAGCTGTCTGCCTTGGACAAATATTCACATATCTGATGTCAGGGAGGGGAAACAGGGAGTTTCATAAAATACAATGGTTGATCTCTCTCCCATTATATCCCCATTTCTGGTATATTTGGTCTAGGGTAGGGCTTGAGCATTTGTATTTTTATTTCTGATGATTCCAGTGAGCGGCTAAGATTAAGAACCTCTCTAAGAAGATCACCACCCCTCCAGGAAATAGTCTTCAATTGGCTCAAATGGGCACCTTCGACAGCTTGGGAGTAGACGCTGAAGGGGGTGATTTATGGTGCCTTAAAGGACTTTTATGCTAACACGCAAACTATCTCTGGCTGAGTCAGATCCTTGTAGTAGACCCTCGAGAGCTCCTGTGGCAGTCCAGGTGGACCACCTCTTGTGCCCACCCACCCGTCCTTGGTAGGCTCTCTGAGCTTGCCCCTCTCCCACCTGCCTTCTGTGCCCTCCTCCGCCTGCTCACCTGGCGTCTGCTCTGGTCTGATATCTCTTGGAACCACCAGTTCTTTACCTTCCCTTTGTGATCTCAGCCAGAACTTGCCTCTGAAACCCCCAGGGTACCGGATCTTGGCAGAGCATTCCACCAGATTCTAAAAAAGCCGGTTGCTGGTCTCCTTGGCTCTTTGCTTTAAACCAAAAAATAAAACAAGAATCAACTATAGGAATAGCAGCAAAAGCTGGTGTGGTTTTTTGTTTTGGTTCGGTTTTTGGTTTTTTTCTTTCACTACAAGTAGCAAGAAAGCATCAGTGAGTGTCACCTAATTGACTGCTATAAAATCTTTGACTTTAAGGTGGGGGGGGCGGGTAACATACTTATGAAAATAGTGAGTTTGGAGCCAATGTTTAATAATACTGGCAGATGGAAAATGAAATGCCTTTTTTTCTCTGGTCTGTAAGCAGCCAAGATTTGAGCAGAGTCTTTGTTTAGAAGTGCCACTTGCAGGATGTTTTCCAGAACCATCAGACCAAAAAATATCTTCCTAATCATAAAATTCTCACTGGGGCCAGCTAGGCTCCTCCAAACTTCACCACCACTCCCTCTGTGGGCTCACCCCACCCCTCCAGAGAGAACGCAACAGAGAGGAGCGGAGGAGGTGTCATTGGCCTTCTGGCTCCTTTCCCTAACCTCGGCCTTTCTTTCTTTGGAAGAGATTTATGCAGCACTCTCAGTCTGCTCCAGATTGGCAGGACAACCCACATAAACACACTCCCACGGTAAACTTAGATAAGAGTCCTGACTGAATTAGCCAAGAACACACCATCTTTCTGGAAGTGATGTGACCACACAGAACAGGAACAGGTAAAGCCTGTCTTAGCTGTGCTTCCCTCAGTCCTCAGGCTCCCAAATGGGTGTGAGGGCATACAGAGCTGCAGTGACACTGTTCACAAGAGGTGGGGTCTGGCAGGATCTGGAAAAGTCCCTTCATGCATAACCACTGAGGTTTTTTTGGGGGGGAGGGGTTTATGTCTCATTTTTGGAAAAGCTTACCCTAACAATCCATGTGCTTCTATTACAGAGAACATTTACTAACATTGGGTTTTCCTGGTTTTTCATCCAAACTAAATATCATCAAGTTCATAACCTCAGCCAGGGCAAAAGCATCACTGCCCTGAGCAATATTTCAGCCTCCAGCTCC